ACTTCATCCATCATTGCAACTTCTCGCTGGTATTCATCAAGTTAGGATGATTTAGATGTGTAAAACTAAATGTGTTATCATTTTAACCACAAATTAACAGTTTCTATATAAATATTAGCATTTCCTCACTTGGTCCAGGGATTGAAGCCATAATGGCACTAACAGCATATTTGATTTAAACTAATTAAAAACAGAGGCTCTCGCAATTTAATATATTGATTTTACCAGTGGGACTTAAATCTTTTATAATAAGTGTACACAGCTGCACCGCTCACCCACCACCACTTTTAAACCTAATCCCTGCATTCCTCCTGACAATAACATGACAGGATCCACACATCCCAGTATTAGCCTTAACCCCGGTGACACTGCCAGAATGTATTAAACTAAAACATAGCAGTGTCCTGTTTAAAAGGAGCCTGTCAACAGCCCTGACTGGGCTGTAATAGTTATAATCTCTTTTTTAATTAATGTTTCCAACCTGTTGTACGACGTTCCATCGCACATCCCTCGCTCCAATCCAAAAAAGCCTTTCAAGCTCATTTACAGCAGAAAGCCTTGCTGCTGCACAGGGACTCTTCCAGCCGCCGTGCAGGAGGGCAACGGATGCGGTGCTCTCAGGAGCAGTGCTGCATGCTTTGCCTGTGCCCAGCTGCTCTTCCAGGCACACGAGCTCCAGCCACCCGGCTCGTCTCCATCAGAGCACTTCCAAGCTGCAGCGCTCTGCCTTTCAGACCACAGTCAGGGCTGGGGGCTTCCCCTGTCCACAGAAACACAAGCAAAGGGGGACGATTGCTGCAGCTTTTTCCCCTTTCTCCTTGCAACAGGCTAGTTGAAAAGGGATGAATTTCTCCCTGGAGCCTGCTGGGCGCTCAGAGACCTGCCGGCTGCGTGCTGCACAGGCACTGCTCCGTTCCAGTGCTGCAGGCCTCCTGTCGTGCTGCTCCTGTGGCACCCAGTGCTGTGTGCACCCACGCTGCCCGCAGGGCGGACCTGCTTGGGCAGGAGATACATCAGCATCGGGTGGAGGGGAGAGGAAGCCGAGGGCTCGGCCTCGTGCGTGGCCACAGCCATGTGATGGCGAGCAGGCATTCGGGGCTAACATTTAATCTGCTTTGTTTCAAGTGGGAAATATGTGAAGATCAAATAAGTTCAAATCCAGGTCAAATATCCTTGAAAATCTTTGATTTATATAAGCAGGAAAATGAGGTTTAAAAGAAGTGATTATGAAAGGGTTACTAAAAACACAGCTGTACGCGTACTCTTATATCTGAGGCTCTCCAAAGAAAAACTGTGTGACATCTATATTAACCTTTGGCTGTACACCAACGAAGGCCTGTAGTGAGCTGGAATGCAAGGCAGCCCCTTCCAAATTTTAACACAAGCCAGGTTACAGCTGCAAATGCCTGCAGCCCGTGCTCACTTTATAAAGTATTCCCCGAAGGAAATTTTTTAACTGTTATAGAATCTTTTTCTAATACCCTACAGTGTTAAAGCCTGTTATTAAAGGGCAGAGAGATGGTTCCCCATGCCAAACACTTGTCAACAAAAAGGATAGCCAGATGGTATGAAATGAAAGGAAACTTGGGGGCTCTTCAGCTCCTTCACTTACATTAACAAAAGCCACTTTGATGTGCTCCTTCCAAGAATGACTAATTCTGCCTCCCCCCCCTTATTTTTTTGCCAGGATTAAGCAATGTTGTTCATTTTATAATCAACCACGAGACAAATTAACAAATTGCACAGCACTTGTGCCGACTCCTTAAAAAAATGTTCTGTGCAAGTCTGTTTACCAAGCCAGGATCACCCGCATAAGGACAGCTCAATTATTTTTAGAAGAAGGGTCTATGCGAGGCAGAGGATGTTTACTCTTCAGCTGCTGTTTATAAACTCGAAATTAAACTGATGCAAAAAATGTTTTGTGTTTTTTCAGTGCTTAAAATGGATCCGCTTGTAAACTTCATTTGGTCTGAAATGGAATTCCAGCTAATGAAATTGCAGTAATAAATTTTATAAAATTAGACAGCAATTAACTGACTAACTTTGTCAGACCACTGTGGCTAAACTCTCTTTTAATTTACACGTAAATTCATTCTTGACACAAATCCATTCCTCATCCATCTTAGCACAGGTGTAAGTTAATACAAAATGTCGCCTGTGAATTAACTGGCTGTAAATCTAAATCTAATTAATTGTCAAGATTTTACAGGAATATTACATGCTTAGTACAAAGCTCCCTGCAACATAACCCTGAGATGGAGCACCTGTGCTTGTGTTCCTCCCTGCCAATGCCCAGTGTAAATTCTTTGGGATAAATACACACAGCATCTCCATAGAAATCAGTGTGTATTTGTGCTTGCTTTGAGGTTTTTTTCTTTTTCACTACGCAACCCAGGCAACCTCCCAGTGTAAATCTTTATTTCTTACACGTTTTCCTCCAGAGCTGCATGACTAGATAGACAGATGGGGAATATGAATACAGCAAACAAACAAACCTGCCCGTATTTCTAGATTAGCATTTGGAAGCCTGGAATAACACGTTTTGTTTATTTAAATTCAAAATTACTATTTTTCAGTCGCTTTTACTTCCTCCACTACTGAGATGAAAGTTTATTATGCGGTGACATTTCCTCATTGCAGTGGCTCTACTATAGTAATAAAAGCCTACCTGTGAAACGCAATGCTCGCACAGGAGCTCTTACAAAAGTAGGACACAGTTTACTACAGCCTGCGTCCAGCAATTCAGCTCTGGTGTCCAATGGATGACTGCAGAAAATCTCCCAAAAAGCATCAGTTCTACAGCAGCTTCTAATTTTCCCTGGATGTTATGGCACGCTGTACATATCAAAGCAGGTGTTACATTTTACTATATATGTGAGTGGCTGGGCTAATTCATTCAAACGTCCCTAAACAAGCCTGTCTTTGTCCTATAAAGATGAAAGACCGATGACTATAATGGGATGAAAGGTGTGCACAGGGATGAAGAAAGCTATTACGGATCTATGTCCTTTTTAAACTCGTCCTGGCATGCACTGTTGACAAGGGAACAAAACAGCGCAGATAAACCTCGGAGAGGTGCCTCGCTGGTAATGATCCCACCTGTCTCATTTAAAGCCTTTGGGTTTTGCCTGCACTCTCACATCTCGCTGACCATGCTGACAGTATTTTACATAGGGAACACTTTCAGATTTCTTAGCCAACTACAAAACACAACAGGCTGAAGTGGCCCTATCCACTGTCGCCATCACATCGCGTCGGGACATGGGCTACTGAGTGTGCACAGCTCACACAGGCATAACCCACTCTATGGGAAGTTCCTACTTAGACGTAGCCCAGATGGTCATTTTTACTTCGCAGGTTATGGATGGGTTCCACTCTAATCACAAACCATTTGTATTCAAAATAATTCGGGACCCGAATATTATCTCCTTTTGTTTCACCCCTGCGCTGCAGGGAAGGCCTCTCCTGACGCCGGCAGTGCGGGATGGGAGCACTGTGCAGCCGTAGGTCTGCGCACCAGCACAGAGCTGCACGTCCCCCATTGGTACTTACATGCTTCTTAGGTGCTCTGCCCCACTAAAATTCTGTGCATTTCATTCCACTGAAACTCACAGAAGTATGAATTTTGCTATGGTTGATTCCACATCCTTTGTCTTCCGTGCTCTGGGTGTGTGTACGTCGTGTAAGACCCCAAGATCCACACAGAACAATGTTTGCGAGATCACTCTTATCTCTAAAGCCAAATATTTGACCACCATTCATACTTTTGGCTGCTCAAATATTTGGTTTTGAGAGTATCATTGCTGATCAGCTTAAGTATCTAGCAGTGATTAGGCAAACACGATAATTGTAAATGGAAAGCATCAGCCCTCCCAAGGAGCACGTCCCTAGGCCAAACGTAACTCAGAGTCCTGCTGCGGAGCTTAGGGCATTTAATGAAGAGGTGCAGCTTGTGCAAATCAGAGGTCTCACACAGCATTCCATGTAATGGAAGAATTGTGTTGGGACGGCTACCGTGTCCGGTAATTACTATTGTTTGCCATTGAGCTTTGCAGATACTGATACTATGAGCTCTGAGATTGGAGGGGTGGGGGTTTAACTTGTGCTGCCCCTGAGCCCAGAGACCCAGTGAGGCATTAACAAGTTTGTGGGTGATGGGAGTGTCTGCGATCCCCAGCAGGTTACACGCTGGAGATGCACTGCTCTGCTCTTTTCTTGGGTTGGGACCAACTTTGAGTCAATCTTGTTTTGGAAATGCTACTTGCGTTGCATTGGGAGTTTGCAGACACCCAATCTGTACGTGTAGTGGTTTCAGTGCTGTGCATGGTGAGGTCTAAAAATGGACACAGTGAGCCACGGTCTGTAATTATATATTGAAAATAGAATGCTCGTCCTGATGGCGTTTTACTCAAATCCGGCCAAGTCAGTCCAAATGGGTGTGCAATCTACAGCAAGCAAATAGAAATCAGATTGGGCCGTAGCATCCAATTAGAGAGGCCTAGCGAGCCGCATACAAAGCATGCCAACTTCGTGTCATTAGCATAAAGCCATCCACATGTGCTTGGGGAGAGAGGCAAGTTGGCGGCACTAATGGAGGTCAACAGAAAAAGCTGCAAGAATGAGTGAGGGTTCATTGTGGGATGTCCCCGAGCCATTGGGAACGCGCTGGGAGCCCCACGTCCTGGTGGCTCCGTGTCCCCGTGTCCCGTAGCACCGAGAACCCGCAGGCTTCGTGTCCTCGGTGACATTGGATACGGCCGAGCCCAGCAGCTCAGCTCCTACCTGCAGGGCCGCTTTCGGAAGGATGGCACGGAACCATCCGGAGGAGAAGCCAGTAAAGCGCTCGGCGTGTCGGCGTGCGGGTGGCCGTCCGTGCGCTCGGACGGCAGCGGAGCCCTGGGCGCGCCGCAGCCACCTTCCGAGGACCGCTCCCGCCCCTCCTCGCCACCCGTCCCGCCACCTGCCCGCAGCCCAGCCCTGCCCCGGCCCCGGGCACTCACCCAAGTTGACGAAGCTCATGACCATGTCGGCCTCGGTGAGGAAGTTGCTGTCCTGCAGGCTGGCCAGCGGCGGCCCCTGGGTGCTGAAGATGGGTTTGTAAGGGTAGGAGAAGCCCTCGCCCTCCTCGGCCGCCGCCCCCGCCGCCCCCTCCTCCACGGACATGGCATTGTAGAGGTCCAGCATGAACATGGGGGCCGAGTTGTGCTTGCCGTGGAGGTGCGGCCGCGGGCGGTGCGGCAGGCCGAGGATGGAGAGGATCTCCCGCTGCATCTCGCGGCGCTCGGGGCCGCGCAGCCGCCGGTGGATGAAGCTGGAGTGCACCTCGTTGTCCAGCGTGAAGTCGGCGAGGACGCAGCGCAGCCAGAGGGCGGGGGCGGCGGCGCCCAGCACCAGCAGCCAGGAGGCGGGCTGCCCGCGCCCCGCCGGCATCGCGGCGAGGCGGCGGCGGCGGCGGCTGGGGGGCGGCGCGGGGGGCGCGGGGCTGCCCCGCCGGGGGACGCGCCCCTCCGGCATGCGCGGCCCCGCGCTCACGGTGCCGGCCGCCGGCCCCCGCGGAGGAGCCGCGGCCCGCTCATGGCCCGGCGGGGGCTGCGCAGCGGCCCCGGCCCATGGGACGCCGAGAGAGGAGGAGGGAGCGGAGCGGAGCGGAGCGAAAGCGCTGCGTCCGGGAGCGGAGCCCGAGCGCCGTGGCCGATCCCGCACGGCGCGGCGGAGCCGTGTGCGCTGCGTGCTCCGCGGAGAGGCAGCGGGAGGGTGGCTCTGGTGGGAGGAGCAGGAGCGGAACCCAACGCGCTCCTCTCTCGCCTGCCCGCTGCAAACCGCTGGGGAGAGCAAAGCCGCGCTGCCGCCGGGAGGGGGAACGGCTGACGATCAGGTTGCTCGGCAGGACGTGTGCTGCTGGCTCGGGGCGAGGGCGGCCGGTCCCGGCGGTCGCATTAACGTGGACGTGATGAAGGAGAAAACGCCCCGGGAGGGAGGGAAGGAGGGCGGGCGGTCATGAGCGGAGGCAGAGTTTGGGGGTGCGGATACGCCGTCAGTGCGCGCAAACGGCGCGCAGCCGTGCCCGGCCAGCGCAAAGACCGCGGCTCTCAAGTAGTTAAAAAGCAGCGCTTATGCCTCACACGCACTCATGCAACAGGAGTCTCAGAGCCACAAACCCGCATCGTGGCCGTGCTTTGCACCTTCCAACCTGCTCGGGCACCTCGTGCCTACCCGTTCCCCTGCTCTGTCCCCTGCCCGTTCTGCTGCCCCCTGCACACCTTTGCGCAACGCTCTGGGAATGCATCGCCGGCTTTTTGAAGCACTGATTTCACGGGGTTTCTAACTCAGTGTGTAACACCTACAGTAATGCAGCCCCAGCCCCGGCCAGTCTGGGTAGCGCTACTCAGTAACGATAGAGAGCAGCATGTAGTCTGCTGCTTCCTTAGGTTTCACTTGGAAAGCAAGAGGAAAGCAGGACAGAAGGCTTTATCTGGGACACAACCCAGCCCCAGGTAACCTCAAGAACCAGACACACACACGAAGTTGGTGCTGCCATTAAGATTCATTCCTCAGGCAAAGGAGAAAGAAGAGGGTCAGAGAGAGAAAAGTTCAGTGCAGTTTGTTAGATTGCTCCTCTGGTGTTTTTGGATAAGAAATAACTAGCAGTGCTAGCACCAAATCCTCCATCTGCTATGGAAAAAGGAAGTTCTGCCCTTCTTTTAGCTCTTTATGTTTAAATTCCTCGTGCAGATGGCAGGTAACTGGTTAAGAGCTGCATGGGAAAGACCCGGAATGGTTCAGCGTGTTTGTGTGCGTCTGTGCGCACCTTTTAATAACAGGGAAACTGAGGCATGGCATTGACATGACTCACAGAGCTATTGAAATAGTGGTGGAACCAGCATTGAATCCAGCTCAGTTGTTTAGGAATGCATGGTGGTGGGGGCAGAGGCGGTGCGGGGCAGCCAGGGTCCTTAGTGTGGAGCAGTGCTAAGCCAGGGTGCTATGGGGGGGCTCAGATGCCACCACAGTAGGTACCTTCTCCTCACTCCCCACTGATGGGAGCATCAGCCCTTAGCACTTGTGCTTCACAGTTAAGATCAAACTCCCCCATACTTCCTGAGGAGCAGTACCAACCTGCTTTTAACCAGACAGCTATTTGCCTAAATTTCTCTCCTGCCTAGGGTGTGGTTTCTTGACCAACTGAAATCCAAGCTGCTGAAACCTAGCACAGCCCCCCAGCTGCAGGCTCACTGCCCTCCCCGGGCGCACAGGTCAGGAAGCCTGTTCTGTTTTTAAACATAATCTTTGTCAAACCATTTCTTATTTGTTTTTGCTGAGTTAATTTTCTGCTGGATCAGCTCCTTGATCCGACTGAGTGCGTTAGGGATGGTGCTGGAATGAGGGAGGCCGCAGGAATGCACAGCTGGGGGCAAGGAGAGGGTGGCAGGGCTGGGCTGGGATGCCTGGTGTTTCCCTAAATCAGTCATGGAAGGGCAGGGAGGTGACTGAGCATCCCCCACTCTGCTCTATCAGCCACAGATAACTCAATTTCACTTTCTTTTTTGTTCCTTGTAGGTAGAGTTGGCCTTTTGTCACACAGCAGGACAAGGGGACTCACCTTCCTCAGGGTCAGGGAGACTGAAAGTCTGTGAGGGTGGATGGGTGAAATGGAGAGCAGGTGGCCCTGCTGCCTGAATTACTTACACCTGAGTTGCCCCTAGTTCACGTTTGCAAACTGAATAAATCTCAGATCAGTGTTGTATTTTAAAATGGCATCACTCTGAGGGAAAAGAAGAGAAAAGAAGAAGAGAAAAGGAAAAAAAGAAAAGAAAAATACCGTTTGGAAGGTTGGATCATGACTCAACACCTTAGGTAAAAAAAAAGCAGTGTGTGTCACTGAAGAAATAGTGGAAGAAATGCAAACCTTGAAGCCTCTTGATTTGACATATTTCTTGAAATAGCGATGTTTGAATCTATCTCCATCTTGTTTTGTTGGCTTACGTGGTCTGGTTTTGTCTAAGATTGGATACTTCCTGATTTAATGTAGGGTATGTCCTTTAAAATGGGGGGAATGCTGAAATTATATCCCATGCTTTCATGGAGGTAGTTGGTAGTCTTTTCTAGCAGCATTTTCTATGCTCCTATTGCACCAGGGAGAGAATTAAAGAAATGCATTATAGTTGCAGTGAAGGTGCTGCTTGCATATATTCTTAAAAACAAAACCACTGTGAGTGTGAGATGAGAGGGGATCTGTTAAAGAGTCATTTCTTTAACGTGAGGCTCACAGCAATTGACTTCAGCTCACTGTGGGACACAAAGCAGCATTTATTCTGTTGCACACAATGAAGGATGATGCAGCTCAGACTGCAATGGTTCAGTCCTCAGATCTGAGCTTGAATTTCAAATCCCTTTCAGACAAGGAAGGTACAAAGGGGATTGTCTTTCTCGTGGACAACATCCTTCTCTTCCCTCCTTTCTTCCTGCTGTGTGACCGCCATCCTGCTTCCGTAGGGTCGGTTCCAGCACAGACAGCGTGCTGAAATGTTGGCACCCTCATGTCATCGTCCTCTTCCTCCTCCTCCTTCCTGGATCAATTAAGAAACCAGTTTTTCCTCTTCTCTGCTTCTGTCCTTCCTTCTCTTCTTGAGATGGAAAAGTAAATGCTTATGGTGAAGCAATCCCTGTTTGCTGGCACTGGATGCATGGGCTCATTTCTGTAAAAACAACCTCCCCGTGTTTCTTGAAGCTCCACACAAGCCGTGTTACCAACTGAGTAACTTTGTGATCTTCTCTGAGCTTCACATGTGTGCTGTTATCTGGCTTTTGTACCCGCTGCTGGCACTGCTTCTGTTGGTGTAGAACTCAGTATGCTTGGAAGTACTTCTTTAGGGGATAAGGGGTCTGATCTGAAAACACTAAATGTGCAAAATTCAGGTATGTGTGTGATGAATTTGTTTGTGCTGATCCCAACGCTGTGCACCCCTGTTAGGGAATTCAGTTTGCATTCAGTATTACCACACGAACAGTAAAAAGCAGAGGCTCTGCTCGCAAACTCATTTCATGGCTGTTTTCAGACATCAGACACAAAGCATTTTTCTTCCTTTCTGCGGAATCACTTTCAAGCTCCATGCCTTCCCGCTTTGATGTCCTCTTTTCAGCTTTAACCACGTTTCTTTTCCATTCTGTTTTGCATCTTCTCTCATTTGTCTCAAAGTGCAAGTCCTAAATTACAGCGAGCTTTTTTCTTCTTCTTCCAAATATTCCCACTGAACTAACATGTGTTTGGGGAATTTGGGGTTGTTCCTCTGGGCTTCGCACATGCAGAACATTTATATAACAACAATAATAGCATCATTATTTGTATAAGAGTGCATAATTAGCTTGCATATTTAATTACACTATATTGGATTATCCTTATCAAAAGTTCCTATTCATCTCCTCAGCGTTATTACTGGGAATGAATTCACCAACACATGTAATCGCATTATGGGTAAGCCATTGTATTCGTTCTAATCCAGGAATTTGAACAGGTCGGGGCTGGGATGGACTGTACTGATTGTGGAGAGAAACTCGGTGTTGGTTCTCACTGCTGCTGATGGGAGGGGAGGTGGAGCTGAAGCTGAAAGTTTGGTTATGAGAGAGCATTGTTGCTTCTGGAGATGGCCGCAGTAACTAAGCAGTGATCTTTGGGTTTGTAACGTTGGGCTCTAATGCTGAATTCCTCCACTGTGTGAGGTGGGCAGAGCTCGGCCCTTCATGGCACAGCACATGGGAGCACTTCACAAAATGAGAGCTCTGTGGTGTACTTCTTTGTTATTACCCTGAGAACATAGAGTTGGGTTCATAACACTGAAATGTTTCCAGTATAATATTTATCACACAGCTATTTTCAGCCTGAATGTAGCCCTGTGCTGTATCTTATGTGTTTGTATGCAGCTGTATGTTGGTACAGGTATATGTAAATACAGTGGGGAGCAGTAATGTCATTATACTCTCTATAAGAAATACATTTCTATAGCATAGGTATCAGGTGAATATTTTTTGACACAGGGCCATTTTTAGATCCATATATTGCCAAAGCTGCCGAGGAAAACTGACTTTAATTTTGCGTTGCTAAACTGTTCTGCATACTCTTGATTTAGCTGACACTTTTGGCATAAATTCGGGCATTTCTTTCCCTGGAAAAAACGTGCTCTGAGCACCCAGAAGCCCCGGCTCAGGGCTGTGGGAGCCCACGCTGAGAACAACTCGCTCTGGGTTGTGAGGATCGCACACAACACTGCAGCACCTCCGTGCTGTGCTCGGAAATCCTGCCCGCCGGCAATGCTTCCTTGCAGTGTGTGCTCTTTGCTACACGGTGCGTCATCAGATTATCGGGGCTCTTTTAGCTTGTATTTCTGTGATCTGGAGTGTTTTAGCTCTCTGCTGTTTGTATTCGCTAAAGGCAGATTTTAATGTTTGGAATTGTCTGTGTATGAAAAGCATATAAACCTATTCCATGTTTTCAAAGTGAACAACAGCAATAGCTGATG